GTATTGACGCATTTTACTTTTGTCGCGCTATATAATATGTAATAGATAACATCTTTTACGATTACAACGTATTTGTTTTAAGTAGTTTGCCTAGGTTTTTTACTCCTATACAGAGTATAAGTTCAAGTTCCAGAATCATTGGAAGCGAATCTGTTGGAACTATGACGAAATGAAGGTCGAAATCATTTATACTAAATTTATATTACATTCCATTTAATATTCAACTGCTGATTTGCTGACGCGTTTTAAATACCATTTTTTAGGTAGGAGAATTTTCCTTTCAAAAAAAAACAAGGTAGGAAAATTTTGGGTGTTTGAAGAAATTATAGATATAGAACGCGATTGGTATTTCACAGCATGTAGAAATAAGGGTAGTGGGAAGAAAATTCAAGAAAGTGAGGACAAAATGTATCGCAAATTTTGTGACAAACAGTGGTATGGCGGAATCATGAAATGTAGATCGGTGATTGTTATGCTTGATGCTTAATATTTAGCCGTGCATCGCACGGGGCAATACTAGTGTGTGTGTGTGTGTATATATATATATATATATATATATATATATATATATATATATATATATATATATATATATATATATATATATATATATATATATATATATATATATATAAAATAAAGTTCAGTGTGAATTATAGTTATTATGTGCACTTGTGCACTCGTATCGGCCGTGCATTTGCATAGATCAATGGCTATGAATTAATGTGCACGGGACCAGGTGCACCACATCTCATTCAGCCATTTTGGGTGGTGCGTTCTGTAAGGGCATTTTTGTAATCTCCACTGGGCAATAAGTTGGCTGTGTGTAGGGGTCGGGCTTTCTGTTTTTTGTTTTTTCCCCCCTATTTCCGATCTCCACCGCCTATCTTTGTCGAAGTTCTCATTCTTGCCGGAGTTTTGTGCGGTAATCAATGGCTCGGTCAGGTGACAGTCGTCGTTTGTGGAGGGGTACGTCCAGACAAACATTCTCGCCAGCAACGCCGCCCTCAGCTGCTGCGTACAGAGTCGTGGCGGTAGTGGCGGAGCCACAATGGGGGCAGTGGGGGCAGCTGCCCCCATTGCCCTACCCCATATAAATTGGATATACATTAAACATACCAAGATTTTAACAAAGTTAAGTTTAGTGTAGATGGTAAGGTCTTTGATGTTTTATTATATCATATGAAATGTCAGCAGTTCGAAGCCATATCCTATCGCTTATTTCCTTTTTCCATCTAGCAATTTAGGGTGTGTTTGGAAACCCGGAAAATGATTTCGGAAAATAACTCAAAGTCAATGGAAAATCTCTCAACTTTTTCGGAAAATGACTTCCCCTTTTTTTGGGGAAGTCATTTTCCATCTTCATCAACGCACGGGCTTGCCTCCATTTGCAAGCTCCAACCTCCATGCATCAACATGAGAACAGGCTCCACCAAAAATTCCATCACCAGAAAAGCTTCACCGAAGATCTCTTCATCACTGATTTCCGCATCGGAACCAAAGGCTCAGGTTTCCGATGCGGAAACCAGATTTACTAGATCGCTGGTTTCCGATGCGGAAACCAGATCGCTGGTTTCCGCAGTCGGAAACCAAAGCAACTGGGCGATGTTTGTATGTTTGTTTTTTTTTTTTTTTTTTTTTTTGTTTTTTTTTTTTTTGTATCTCTCAGTATTTTATTTTTTTGATTTGTGAAATCAATTTTTTTTTATTTGCATAGAAATGGAGGTGGTTGTTTTGGGTTCATATGTTTATTTGTTTTGACTGAAATATTATTTTCTGAATTGCAAGCTAGGAAGAAGAACACAGTAGAGTATAAAATTTTAGGGAAGAAGAACACATTAGAGCATAAAATTTTGGGGAAGAAATAAAAATAATTGAAATATACAATTTTAGTCATTTTCCTATTCATTTTCTGGAAAATGAACCAAACATACAAAGACAGTTTTCTGTTGTGCAGCCAAACACCGGAAAGGAAAATGTTTTTTGGAAAATGATTCATTTTCATTTTCCAGAAAACATTTTCCAGAAGTCATTTTCCTGCTTTCCAAACGGAGCCTTAGTTTCCATTTCCTTTTTCCATCTAGTAATTTTGTTGCCATTTGCTTTTCATTTGTTTTTCACTGCTTTAATGGTTATGTTAATCACTAAGGACGAATACATTTGCTTGAAATTCGTTAATGTTAGTTGGCATAATTGTTTATTTGGAATAATTAGTTAATGTTAGTTAGGATATAGTTGTTTAAAAATTTCATTCGTATTTAATATTTTGTATTTGATCGAACATTGTATTTGAATATTTTTTAATTCATTTTACTTTTGCTTTTTTGTCCCCACTCAACATAAATCCTGGCTCCGTCACTGCATGGCGGCATCACAGTCGTTCAGGCCCCGGTATGGCTGCCGTCCTCTAGCCTGGACTAATCATGGTGTTTTCGAACGGGTTGTGTCCGGGATAGCCTTTAGGGTATCTGCACGGCGACAAACGGCGACCGGTGGGGTCTGCGAGGTTAGTGTCAGTTCTCATATTCCGTGAGATTTTGAAATTGGTAATTTGGGTCGAATTGGGCTTTCGGCAGTGTGGTTGATGTGCATTCGTTTCAGTCCAAACACCAGCTATTCACTCTTTTTTTTTTTTTTTTTTTTTTTCTTTCTTTTTTTTTTTTTTTTTTTTTTTTTTTTTTTTTTTTTTTTTTTTTTTTTATGATGATGGCAGTATGTGTTTAGTGCTGCCTTGAAGTTCATTGATTTGATGTTTGTTTGAATTTTGCATAGCTTTGTAGTGTTAAGGCAGTGTGATTGCTAGGCTTGTACATTCTGGAATCTGGGTAGGAATGAACATAGTAATTGAATTATGATGAGTTTTGATGCATTTGATGAGCTTGGCAGTGTTGATGGGGGAGCTGGTAAGATTATCTAATTTATATACACATATAATCTGAAATGAATAAGTTAGTAAAGTTGGGTATTACTCCAAACCTATAGATTAGGATGATGAGCAATATAATAAAATCAATGGTGGCCCTTGCACTGTGTTAGGAAGCTGCAGTAACATCTTTGTTAGAGATATATACGGATATTAGTGCTCTCTTTGTTAGACCATTTTGTCAAGTTGCAGACAATTTAAAGATTAAGTTAGCATTTTGGTGGCCTTTCTGTTAACATTTTTACGTTTTAACATTTTGTTTTGTTTTGGGATTAAATAAAGTTGGTAAAATCAGTTTATTATAATGCCCATTGATGGGATAGCGTGGTCAAATTATTGTTTTAACATCTTCTCCAGTCACCTATAATGAAAACAAGCTGAGCTTTAAGAATTCTGCAGATTTTCGTTTCACTCCAAACACCAGCCATTCATTTTATTATATTGCTCATCATCCTAATCTTAACCAGTTGTACTTTGAAATTTTTAAATCTTTTTACTTAGCTTTAAATTCTAGGCAGTGCAATCTATTCTTAATGTTACGCTGAAAAAAAAAAAAAAAAAAAAAAAAAAACAAGTACGAAATGAAAATAGGAAAAACCATACTTCCCTCCCCCCTATTGCCTAAAAACCACAACCTGCTTCATGCGTCACTCTACTGCCCTGCTATATATGTATATTGCTGTACATTATATATGTATTCCATATCAACATATATAATATCACTACACCAATTTCAGCTCTCAAATTTTTCTCTCTTTTGCAAAGTATAATGATTGTTGAAAATGTTGATGTTATATGTGTTTAAAATCACGGCATTGCATATGCATTTGTTGAACGATTTTTATTTTGTAAACATAATTTTTTTTGTATTAATATATAAATATCTATGTAACAAAAAATGAATAAAATACAAATTGATATATTATTAAACACGTCTTTATATACAGCATTTGACATTGAAGATTATATTTTCCATTGTTGTTGCAAATAAGTAATTTAGGACCATTTTGTAATTTATTATTTTTTTTAAAAAAATTTATTTATCATATCGTAAAAAATATTAATTTTGAGAAATGTTATTTATCATATTGAATTCTGAAAAAACCCAATTAAAACTTGTCCTGTACAAACATAATTAATTTCACAACCAAAAAAAAAAAAAAAAAAAACAAACAAAGTTGGAAGTGCTTATAAAAAATGATAAATGAATTAAGATATGTTTCATTTACAACCTTAAGATTATAATAACTTGACATGAAATAAATTAATTTATGAAAAAGATATATTATCTATAAAAAAAATAATAATTAAATTCTAAATACCAATAACAATATAACAGTATACTCAATTCAAGTACATTTTTTATTAAATTCTAATCACATAAATTAAATTTTCAAAACATGTTTAGCGAAAATTATTTTCTTAAACAATAAATTAAAGAAAATATAAATATTAATACAAAATATACATAATAAGGGTGCTTATACAAGAATGAGCAGCCCACTCCTTTATCATTTGTAAATTGTAATAGGAAAAATTGTAAAAAATGTCCCTCTATAATATGCCAATTATCAATGTCGCCCCTGAATTATGAGTGGTATAAATGTTGCCACTCAATTATCAAAACGATGCACATACAGCCCCTCCCGTAACGGACATGTGGTTCCCCGTTAGTGTACGACACCGTTAAGTCGGAGTAAATATGTAATTTAATTTTTTTTTCCCACCCTCGATTCGAAGTACCAGCAATGGACAACGGTGGGGAACCACAAGTCCGTTACGGAAGGGGCTATATGTGAACCATTTTGATAATTGAGGGGCAACATTTACACCACTCATAATTCAGGGGTGACATTGATAATTGACATATTATAGAGGGGCACTTTTTACAATTTTCCCATTGTAATACATATATAACCCAAAATTCAAGCTCATTTTATCAGCTAAACCCGACCCAAAACCCGCCCGTATAAAAAACTAAACCTAACCTCAGATCTCCGCCCTCTCTCTCTACACTTGTAGAAACAACAATCTCTTTCCAAACTCTGCGAAGGAAATTATACCACACAGTTCACTGCGATTTCCTTATTTCTTTTGAACATTTTCACCCAGATTTCTTGGATCTGTGTAAGAAATTAGTTTGGAAACAGACTAATTTCAATATCTACTCACATTTCTGAGTCCAAATTCTATCAGCTTTTACCCACCGCTTTCCTTTCTTGTATTATTTCTTTCCGGTTCTTCTTCCAAAGGTTCACCTCTATGACCAGTTGAGCTGCCCATGCGGGTATTTTTTCTTTTCGATTCTTGCCTCTATTGGTTCCGGCTCAAAAACTGAAGAATTCCGTCTCCTCTGCATGCAATTCCAGCAACAAATCCACTATGGTGGTCCGGCGGATCTTGCGGTGGTGGGATGAAACGCCAGTGTGCTGTTCATTCCCCATAATACTACAAAACCTCCCTCGAATTCACGCAAAACGATAGGTATTTTTTAAAATTTTTTTCCTTATGTATTTTTGTCCATATTCTTCATTATTTCTTCGGTGGTGGATGTATTAGACTAAAATAGGCTGAACTTGGAAGAATTAATGGAATTTAAAGTGAGAGGACGAGTTTTATGGTTAAAAACAGTGAGAATTACCCATCCCCCTTTTTGTTTCTTTCTTTTTTGCAGTTTTTAACCTTTCTTTTGACTCAATTGATTAGACTGCAGAATGATGTGCATGTTGCTATATTGTGTCTAGACTAAATTAGAAAAGAATTCTTTGGAATATTTTTTGACTATATAGCAGCAACCAAGAACAAAATTCTGTCATACTTTAAAAATGGAAGTCTTTTTAATGATTTTAAGCACTTTGAATTGCATATTTTTTGCTAGAATTGACATTAGTTTTTTAAAAATCTTTGGTGCAGATTTCACTATTTCACAAACATATGTTAAGCAAATGAGGAACATTCTGCAAAAGAAATACTCCGTATTAAGTCAATATTTCATAGAGTTTGAACGTAGAACAGCAGGTATGATACATTGTACCTTATCTCCATCATCATATTTTCTTTTTCCACTATGGTAGTTGACCCGTCAATTTCTTCATTGTTCTTGCAATTCTTTACTATGCAGTCACATCAATTGTAGATTCTTTGAGAATGAATAGAGATTGTAGATCTTAGTTTCTTAAATGAGATGTATATATAGATATCAAGTTAGAGAGAATTGAAATGTCACTATCAAACATTAGTATATGAAAGTCAAACATTACCATCATCAATTAATGCTTGCTAGTAGGACTAGATGTATAGGAAACCTAGGCGGCCTAATCGACTGCCTAGCCGCCTAGACCACTGATTATGGTGATACGCTAGGCGGCCGGCTAGCACCTAGCGCCTAGATGCCGATTAATCAGTGTTTAGGCGAAATTTTTGTAACACTGATTATCACACTAATTTTAATAATGCTTTATAAAATGAAATATACTCGATTGTATACAATACTATTGGCACCATAGAAAAATCAATCAATTATTTTTTAAAAAATATAAATCAATTGAAGTTAAATACTTCTTGCAATTAGACAAAATTTGTGGTTGACTAAGGTTTCATAAGGAAATATTTGCTGAATTAGAGTCTTAGAGAGAGGGATAAAGAGGACGCTAATAATTTTAAGAACTTTTATTATATGTAACATTAATTCCTACTTCCTTAGTTTTACTTTTGTTGTCTCAATTTTTACTTTCTCAGTTTTACTTATGAGGTGACCAGAAATAATAAATTAAACTTCAATCCCAAGAAAAATAAAAATAAGAATTCACATATAATAGTATTTTTTAAAAGAAAAAAAAAAAGAAAGATATCGAAAAGTTGTATAATATTGTAAAAGTGTAGAACTATAACCCATGAAAAAGGGGGAAAGAAACAAATTTTGTTCCCAAAGCTGACAAGAATATTAAAAAAAAAAAAAAAAAAAGTAAGGCATTTCTAATCAACAATCTAGCAACCAAGAATTGTGGATCCTATATTGTTTACAATGAATCTTTCTAAGGAAGATTTGACTTTGATCTTGTGTCTCTATGCTAGCACTGCTTTTCTCTCATCCAGTCAACAAAATCGTCCAGGATCAACGGCCAAGCAAGCTCTTCATCGTAATTGCTGAAATCTGGGAAGCTAATCTGTCCAAACAAGACAGGTTTATGTTACTTATATGACTAAATCAAGAACAACACAAAGACAAAAAGGGCAGTTAATTAACCTTAATAATTGAGTCAATCAAGAATTAGGAAAGTGAAGTATTACCTCACTGAGAAACCTGTAAAATCCTAGCCACTGATCCATGGTTATAACCTTGTAATCTTTCTGAACCTGACCAGAACACAAACAATTAGTTCCCATCATGGAATTGGGCACATAATCTCTGTCAGATTTAAAAAAAAAAAAAAAAAAAAAAAAAGTTGTCTCCACACTTGAAAATGTGACACTGTTTATGGGCTGTGAAACATGGCAGGCTAGTTTATAACTGGACAATGATGTCCTATTTGAGTAACGAGGGAAACCCACAGTCACTACATGAGAATGTGCACAAGGGACAATGACGTCCTTTTCATAAGTACACCCAAACTGAAATATGAGAACCATCCATTATAATAACAGGAACATTAACACAATAGAACACTTGTTTGACAGATACAACGCAATTAAAAGCGCAGCTGAAAATATAATGCAAGCATATTCTCCATTGAAAAATAACAACTCACCTGTATATACTCAACAAGTGCTGCAACTTGTGGTTTAAATCGGGGGCCTAACACGAGATCCAGAAGTACACAAACGATTTCAGTCTCGACGCACTTCTGATTATCCTCTAGAAGACGGGAAGAGAAAAGGACAATAAGCAGCAAAGAAGAACACAACAACAGAAGAAGATACATTATTACTTTCAGGTGGTCGGAAATTCCATAATTTCCAGTAGTGAACATACCTGTTAAGCAATACTGAAATGCATAGGCATAGAAGTCTACAAAGTTTGATGGACTTTGAAGCTGCAAAAAAGAGAACGAGAAACGAGTTAAGAGCTTGGCGAAAAATACACTTGATAGACCTGAGCTTAACACAGACAGAAATGAATGGAACACATGAAAATCATATATACCTCCTCCTCAAGTTGCCCAAATGCCTTCTTTAGATTCTCTATTGTATCAGCCTTTAGCTCTTTAGCCCCGTTTCGCCATTCCTCCTAGTAAATGATAACCGGCCTGGTGTCACTTTCAATACAGGAACGAGTAAAATTTAAACCGATAATAAGACTATATATACATTTCACTTACCAGAGTAAAATAGCCTTGTCTTCCAGCTTTCATTTTCCTAAAAACCCAATAATCCATAAGTGTTAACACAGCACACAGAAATACACAAAGAGATGGAAGTAAAATTTAAAGAGTGAACTAGTATACCATGCAAGTATTAGCATCCTGATGTCAGTATGGGCAACTCCCAAATGTGAGCAGAGAATTTCAATTCCTTCAGGGCTAGTCAATGAATTGAAGAAGATAAGAATAAGTTGACAAATGAAGAAGCTGAAAATCCAGTTTTTTTTTTTTTTTTTTTTTTTTTTTTTTTCTGACTAACTTGATTGGTAACTAAGATACAGAATTTTCCCCCCTTCATCCCATTTTATGTGTCTGAATTGGTTTAACCAATGAACAATAAATAAGACAGAGAGAGTATAATCTAGTTGGTTTCACTCAACTACGCTATAATACACATGAGTCAAACCACACAAAAAGATTGAATCCAATTAATTAGTTTTCTCTTATTTTATCAATATGGACTCTTAACACAAAAAATCAAAGTAATGAGCAGAGCAGAGGAATACTTACTCAATCAACCCTGATGAATCATTAGCATAGGTATAGAACAGTTTATCAATTCGTTCTAACTCCATATCTTCTTCTGCACATAGAGGAATAAAGTGAGGCAGTGTAATACAGTTTCAGAACCATGTTCTTGAAAGAAAACCGGACAGGATTCTTAACAACAAATTTCAATTCTCTGTTGCCACTTTGATACGAGAATTAATTCACGACAGAAAGACAACGTAAAACTTTTCATGGTAAAGGTAGCAACTTTTCTTCTCCCTCCTTCTCCTTTCCAGTTTCAATTTGATACAAAGTTACAAACCACACATACACAAAAGTTGAAAAAACAAAAAATAACTTTAACGAGGATTGACCCATTATATACGTAAAGTAGATGTAGTACCGGAGCGAACGGGATCCGGCGGCGGTGGAGGGGAAGAAGTGGCGGCGCGTTTCTGGGACTTACCACGACCCATGGAGAAGCTTAGACAACAAGAGAGAAACCGCAGTGCAGCTCAGCGCAGGTTTCAGGAGTGATTTTGTAGAAACTAAGAATTCGATTATCGTCCTTTTATAGGTTGCTTTACTTGTAATAACTTGTTCCAAATTAGGATTAATAGATGTTGTGATTCCTAGAATTTCAGTACACCTTATTATACTAGGACTAGGATTGTGCATATTGGGTTATAGACAAATAGACAATGGGTGGATATGTTTTATGTTTATAGATGTTGTGATTTTTAAATTTTCAGTACACCTTATTATACTATGTTTATAGATGTCCTTGACGGCTCCCTTCAAGCCCGCGGCGCATAAGTCGTTCTCAGCCGCGACATCATTCGACGGCATCTTCAGATTTAGATCTAGCGTGACTCAAAGTATGTAAGTGATGCCAGTTCCAACTACCAAGTTTATGTTCTATATTCTAGACAAAGATGTTTGGAGGTTATCAGTTTCTAGTAATGCTGAAAGAATATGAAATTATGCTAAAATTGTCTACTTTCTGTGTGTGGGGCTATAGAAAGCTTGGTCACCTACTCAATATGTGTTTTAGATGGAATTACATATTTACATTGTATATATTATGATAGATTAATGTTGGATTATTATATTTTGTTAGAAAATTATGTATGTTGGATTATATATATATATATATATATATATATATATATATATATATATATATATATATATATTGTGTTGAATGATTTGAACTATATAAATGTAATGTTGTTTGGTAGTAGAATTTTCTGTTGAGCAAGAATTAATTAGTATAGGATACTATTGAATTAAATTAAATATTAAAAGAAAAAAAATAGGCGTTACACACTTCTTTACTTAGCTAGTATAGTCTACCTTACGCGGCTTCCAAGTAAAGACGTAAAAAGTATCCAGCTCAGCTTTCCACGTCTGTGCCATACACGTCTTTATTAGTAAAGATGCGTATTATCATTTAAGTAAAGACGTGAATGGGTCTTTTTGTATTAGTATATGATAGGAGATGTATATACAAATAGTATTATAGAAACATGATAGGATATAGAAACATGATAGGAGATGTACAAATATACCTGCCCGTTGATGTTGTACCTGATTAGACTAAGTCTTAGAAATTCTTATAAAATTATAACTACACCATTAGTCTATATATTAAGCCTCTAATATTAAGACTCTAATATTATAATTACACTAATGGTGTAGTTATACTTATATACTACTTTTTTACGCGATTGGGATAATGCTCAATGTTTTTTTTTAATAAGTACTTTAAAGTATATCAAGGGAAGATTATATTGAAATTGTTCATGCATAGATAATTGAATGTTGAATTTGCGTATTTAAATAGGTAATTCTAAGTTTACAAATGCAAGATAATATAGTCATTGATTATAATTGTCAATAAAATAATTGTATAATCAAGTGGCTTGTGGTCCACTGGTATCGGATTGCTCCCTTATGTGGGAGGTCTAGGTTTTGAGTCTCATTGTAGGCATAGATTGTATGGGTATCCCCCTTCCTTTGTAAAAAGAATAAAATAATTGTATAGGTATGGTTGAAACCAAATACGGGACATAAGGGAGAGCAAATAAAAATTATGGTATAAAATATTAAATATATACTAATATTGGCAAATAAAAATTAGGGTATAAAATTCTGATTGCCAAACAAGGACACAGTTTCCCACTTTAATTTGTTGTGTGATTTGAATACTATTTTTTCAATAAATCCCCAAAGTAGTTAATATGATTCGCTTAATTATATATTTTTTTATTTTTTTAAAATAATATATATATATATATATATATATATATATATATATATATATATATATATATATATATATATATATATATATATATATATATATATATATATATTTAATAAAGACATTATAGGGACAATGTAGCGAATATAATCAATTGATGAATTTGAATGTAAATAATTTTTATATTGGAGAAAAATAAAGACAATATAACTAATGAATAATTTTATTTTTTTTTTTGAATAAAGACATTGTAGACACATAATTCTAAATTAAAGAAATGCATATGTATGATTTTTTGTTGTAACTACTAAATTATTATTTTATTTAGTTTAATAAGAGTAAAATAAAGTACAAATTATGTCAACTTTGATTGTGATGAGGTTCAAACCTAAGACTTTTCTTATTGAAATTAAGTAAGTTAACGATGAACTAACCGAAATTAACAGAAAAGATAATATTTCATGGAAAAGTTAACGGATAATCATATTCATTAAGGATAAATTAGGATATTTTAAGGAAAAATTAAAATCTGATCAATTTGAGCTATTCATTTGATTAAAAAATTTGACCCGTCATTTTTTCTACCCATTATAGGCCTAACTCTCATGGGCTCTTATTAGTATATATATAGTAGATTAGACTTTAATAATAGAGTTAGATTTGTGGGTTAGAGTTTTGTTAAGACTTTAAGGGTGCGTTTGGAAATCCGGAAAATGACTTCTGGAAAATGTTTTCCGAGTTTTCGGTGTTTGGTAAGACGGGGAAAATGAGGTCAATGGAAAATGAGGTCAATGGAAAATGATGCCTTAGTCAAGGAAAATAGGTATGTTTTGGGGGAAAATGACTTCCCCTTTTTTTTTTTTTTTGGAAGTCATTTTCCAAGGGGTGCGCAAGTAAAATTTTTCGGGTCTAATTTTTTGCGGGCTTTTGCAAGTTGGCCCACTAAACCTGTAGGCTAGGGTTCACACAACCATAGCCCGCCCCATGCGGGTTGGTGGGCCCCGCAGGCCGGTCCGCATATTTTATTTTTTGTTTTGTTTTGTTTTCTTTTTTTGAATTCAAAATTTTAAAAAATAAGTAAAGTCTACAAATAATATTAATTTTTTGTATTTAATAATTAAAAAAATTAATTTTTAAAAATGTTAATATATATATATTAGTATATATATATATATATATATATATATATATATATATCAAGGTTGCAGTAGGCGCTAGGCGCTAGTCGGGCGGCCGGGCAGCGCCTAGCGCCTAGGCGGTCTAGGCGGCGCCTAGGCGGATTCTAGGCGGGGCTAGGCGGGCACCAAAAAAATTAAAAAAAATAGTGACAGACTTGTAGTTCGACAATTATAATGAGGTTGTTTTCAACGTTCACTCAAATAACACATCTAAATAAATGAAATAATGATAATTTATAAGTCATAATGTCATAATAATATTAAAATCAATAATTAATGAAAGACGACATCGGTCAAAATCAGTCAAAATCAGACAAAATCGGTCAAAATTGGTCAAAAACGGTCAAAATCGGACGAAATCGGTCGACTCGGCCGAGTTGGCCGAGTTGACCGACTCGGCCGAGTTTGACCGCCTAGGCCGCCTAGCGGCCGCCCAGGCCGCCTAGGCCGCCTAGCGGCCGCCCAGGCCGCCTAGGCGGCCGCCTAGGCGGCCGACCGAGTTTTGGCCGCCTATAGGCCAAAACTCCAAGGTAAGTGGCCGCCTAGCGCCTAGGCGGGCGCCTAGGCGGCTAGGCGGCCGAGTTTTACATCACTGATATATATATATATATATATATATATATATATATATATATATATATATATATATATATATATATATATATATATATATATATATATATACACTATACTAATAAGAGCCCAAGAGAGTTAGGCCTATAATGGGTAGAAAAAATGGCGGTCACAGATTTTAATCAAATGAATGGCTCAGATTGATTAAAAGATTGATCAGATTTAAATTTTACACTAAAATTTCCTAAAATACCCACACACCGTTACTAATTCCGTTAAAATTTTAAGAATTGCCGTTAGTTCACCGTTAACTTACTCATTGATTTCAATAAAAAAAAAGTCTTAGGTTCGAACCTCATCCCAATCAAAGTTGGCATAATTAGTACTCTATTTTACTCTTATTAAATTATATATTATATAAATAATAATTTAGTAGTTACAACAAAAAAAAATACATATGCATTTCTTTAATTTAGAATTATGTGTTCACAATGTCTTTATTCAAAAAAAAAAAATTATTCATTATCAATAAATTAAATAAGATAAATAATTTTATTAGTTATATTGTCTTTATTTTTCTTCAATATAAAAATTCTTTATATTCAAATTTATTAATTGATTATATTCGCTACATTGTCCTTACAATGTCTTTATTCAGTGAAAAATAAATTATTAATTATTAATAAATTAATTAAAAGAAATATTTTCATTAGTTATATTGTCTTTATTTTTCTCAAATGTAAAATTTTTTACATTCAAATTCATCAATTGATTATATTCACTACATTACCTATTATCTTTTTTGTGCACTATTTTTCTAATTAAATATCAAAGTTATAACATAAAATAATGCTATATATTTATTTACCAAGTATTTTATTAATACCATGAAAAAATTAAAAAAAAATATAATTAATAAAGCCAACCATATTAACTACTTTGAGAGATTTTGTGACAAAGAGACTATTCAAATCACACAACAAGTGAGAACTACCTCGCAATGTCCTTGTTTGACAATCAGCAGTTAGCGGTTAACGTTAGCGGATTATACAAGCGGATTTGACCAGCGAATTTATTTAATTATTAACATTAGGTAGAAAAAATGACCGCCAAATTATTAAATCAAATGAATGGTTCATATTGTTCAGGTTTTAATTTTTTTTTCTTTTAAGATTTTCTAATTTATCCTTAATTATATGATTATCCATTTAACTTTTTCGTTAATTCACCGTTAGTCTAATTCTAATATAGAATTATAACTACACCATTAATCTAATTCTAATATTAAAGTCTTAATAGAACTTAACCACAAATCCTAATGTCGGAATCTCCTAAAACAATATTAGTATATATTTCATATTTTATGCCCTAATTTTTATTTGTTCTCCCTTATGTCCCGTATTTAGTTTCAACCATACCTATACAATTATTTTATTGACAATTATAATCAATATTGACTATATTATCTTGCATTTGTAAACTTAGAATTACCTATTTAACCTGCACGGGCTTAGCTCAATGGTTTAGTGGGTAGTATTTGGGAGAAGAGACCAAGGTTTGAACTTCGGCGGCGGCAATGCGTGAATTATGTCCAAAGTGGGCAGATTCCTTGTGCGTACCAGCATTTTGCCCTGTCTGCTGAACCATTGAGTCACCGTGATTTACAACTTCTCACAATGCTCTGTCGGGTCGGAGTGTGGGGGGCCCTTGGGGTTGGGGACTCAAACTTTGGGAGAAGAATTACCTATTTAAATACGCAAATTCAACCTTCAATTATCTATGCATGAATAATTTCAATATAATCTTGCCTTAATATACTTTAAAGTACTTATTTAAAAAAAAAAAAAAAAGCATTGGGCATTATCCCAATCGCGCAATGCGCGTAAAAAACTAGTATATATATATATATATATATATATATATATATATATATATATATATATATATATATATATATATATATATATATATATATATATATATATGGGGTTCCTATGAGGTCACCTAGATAGATGAGATCATGAGATCTCATCACAACCATTAACTCATTACAAATGCATGGTTGAGATTGAAAGAGAATTATAAAGTAATTAAGGATATATTTTAAACATAAGGATAAAGAAGTAATTGTAGGTAGTAGTGTGGTTAATTAATGGTAGAATTAGATTGAAATCTTTAAGATAATATTATGGACAATATTAAAGGAAATAATTACTTCTTTTTTTTAACGTAGCTGTTCATGGAATACCGGAATAGTGATCGGAAAGAAGTCTGCAAATGGAAAAAGGCTAGAGCTGACAAATGGCTAGTGAAAAAAACTGATATGTGCATCTGTAGTAATTTTTTTGGTGTTTTTGAACGATGCTGTGTGCGTGTATGTGCGAAGGCATGTGCATCTGTGTTTTTTTTTTTTTTTTTTTTTTTTTTTTTGCGTTGTTTTTGTTTCTTGTTACGCACATTGTTATATGGTGTGTGCGGTGATTTTTGTTTTTGGATTGTTTTTATAGAAAAAAGTTGTAAGAGTACTTTGTCGTTGTTTTTTGTGGTCCAAGATTGTAAGTTTATTAGAAATGTTGTGTGCGTGTATGTGTAATGACGTGTGCAGATGACTGTGTTCTTTTTGCATCACATTCAGAAGTGATGATGGTTTGTGCGTGTGTATTTTGTAGTATGCAAATTATAGGGACGAGGGCTCCAACATTTATGGTGTCATTTTTTTTTTTAATTTTTGTTACCAAAATTGTTATATGCTGTGTGCAAGATTCATGTTTTTGGATATTTTTTAGAGAAAAGTATTGTAAGAGTTCTGTTTTGTTGTTTTTTTGTGCTCCAGAATTTTAAGTTTATGCTGTTGTGTGCGTAGTTGTGCAACAACGTGTGTTAGTAAGGGTAAAACGGATTATGGCATGACATTGTTATTGTATTTTTTTTTGTATATGTTGTAAAATAATTGGTATTTAAAGTGTGCATAAACCAGTCTCGTGTGTTTATGTGTTAATTTATGACAAGAATGCAAACGCTTTGGTCGGGAGAATATGACGGTAGTGTGTGCATAGTTGTTGTTAGGCGTGTGCATGAACCAGCCTCGTGTTTTTTTGTTTGTTTGTTGCACACGCTATTGCACACCAATGCACACATCACTCAGTAATTTGCACACACCATCCCGCACCAATGCACACTACACCGTTAGTAATTACTTAGGCAATAAAAAAAAATTGCATGCAAAGTAATGCACATGCTAAGTGTTGTTACATTCTTTAATAGGAAAAAAAACAATATGCCAAGTCTATTATGCCATGAATGCACACACATGGTAATTACATTCGTATACCCCCGACTTACTCACAAATAAAAAACAATACACACGACATGATGCGAAGACTCCCACCCAGTTATTTGCACACGTCGTAACACACCAATGCTCACACCCCCGTTACCCTTTAATAAGCAACCAAAAAAAAAAAAAAAAGCTACATGAAGTAACATACAAGCCAAGTGATTCGCACACACTACTACACAACAA